AAAGCGTACTAGCGCTCTCCTGTTCGAAGTTCCCTGGCGGCAGACACTGCACGTGCAGCACCGTGTTTAGTGTCGTGTTCGCGTGCTCGAGCTGAACGACGTCACTTACTTAGAACTCGCTGACTTGTTAGCGGCACGGTGGGTCGCGGAGTTGTGGCTGCGGCCACCGCTCCCAAGCTGTGTCGCTACGGGGATTTAAACGAGTCTTTGACGATGTGTGACATTATGGTGAAATTATTAGCATGTCATATCTCACGTATGTTTTCATTTCACCTTGCACGTATTTCTCATATGCATTTGTATTTATCCTCTGTCACGTGTGACTCACTATTTTACATACTTATGGTGCAGCCGTGGGCACACACCGTGCTGAAGACTGTGTGCGCTGGCGTCTGCGATGCCTGTCATCTATCTCTTTCATCAGAGCAGCTTCAGAAGGACTGTGCGTGATGTGAAGGCAAAGTTCTTTGTGTTTTAACGCTTGTTTTTATATTAACGTGCACGTACTTGTCATATGCGTGCATCTTCATCTTCTGTCACGTGTGTCTAACTATTCTTACTATATTATTGTACGTGCAGCCGTGGTAGCACAACAAGCAGAAGGCAGCGTGCGCTGGCGTCTGCAATGCCTGTCATTTATCGCTTCCGTCCGAGGAGCTCCCCAAGGAGTGAACAAGATGTGACAACGAGACTAGACTTGTACACTTCACCTTGAATTCACTTAGCAGAATGGAGAAACTTCAAGTGTATGCAGAAAAATAAAAGATTTTGATGTCTCACTTTTGTCTTTCGTTGTTGCCGTTAATGCGAATGCAGTTACACATAGGTGGCTAACTACTTTTCGCGTGTTCTTTTCTGCGCAATTTTTTGCTCACTGCGCAGAAAAACAGGTGAAAAAAGTATTGGGCCTGGCGGAAAATAAACGAAAAACAATGTTTAAACTGAGGACAAAAAGTTCATCCGATTAGAGTATTTGAGTGGATCAATCATTCGTCTGGCAAGGTGCAACTGTGAGGACTAACGGTTGCCCGGTAAGGTGTAAATGTGGGGATTAACAGTAGCTCTATAAGATGCAAATGTGAGGACTAAATGTTAGTCCTTCGAGGGGAATTGTGAGACTAACGGTTACTTCCTAAGGTGTAAATGTGAGGACTAAATGTTAGTCCCTTGAGCTCGTCTGTCGGGACTAACTGTTAGACCCGTTGCCGTTAGTCCTAAGAGGAATTATTGGTTGTAGCAACCACATTAGTCCCCAAAAGGACTAACCACACACACTCTTAACACCCTTTTGCCTTAGAGTGCACATATACAAAATTTGGTATTACGAGGCGTGAATGGATGACGAACTTAAATGACACGTTTAAACATGATAATCTTGAGATGCGTATTACGCAAAACGCGACTGCATGCTACGCTCATAGCGTGCTCGCAGCTGTTTCGCTAGCTCCATATATACGAAGTTAGGTATTAGGAGATGCGGAGGGACGACGAAGGTAAATGACACGTTCAAACATGATAATGTTGAGATGCGTGAAAGTAAAACATGACTATATGCTACCCTCATCGTGCAATCGCGGCCGTTTCCGTAGCTCCACGTGTACGAAATTCGGTATTACGAGACTTGAATGAATTACGAAGGTAAATGACACGTTGAAACATGATAATCTTGAGAGGCGTGTTATGTAAAACACGACTACATTCTACCCTCACCGCGCGATCGCACCGTTTTCCTAGATTCACATATACGGAATTTGGTACTACGAGACGTGAATGAGAGATGAAGGTAAATGACACGTTCAAACATGATAATCTTGAGATGCCTGCTAAGTAAAACATCACTACATGCTACGCTCATAGTGTGCTCGCGGCTGTTTCGATAGCTCCACATATACGAAATTCGGCGTTACGAGACGTGTATGGAGCACGAAGGTAAATGACGCGTTCAAACATGATAATGTTGAGATGCGTGTTATGTAAAGTGTGGCTACACGCTACCCTCGTCGTGCGATCGCGGTCGTTTCCTTAGCTCCACATATACGGAATTCGGTACTACGAGACGTGAATGAACGACGAAGGAAAATGACACGTACAAACATGATAATCTTGAGATGCGTGTTAAGTAAAACATAACTAAAGCTACGCTCATAGTGAGCTCGCGGCTGTTTAGCTAGCTACAGATATACAAAGTTTGGTACTACGAGACGTGAATGAAGGACGGAGGTAGATGACACGTTCAAACATGATAATGTTGAAATGCGTGTTATGTAAAACATAACTACATGCTACGCTCATAGAGTGTTCAGAGCCGATTTACTAGCTTCACATATACAGAATTGGGTATTACGAGACGCGGATAGATGACAAAGGTAAATGACACGTCTAAATATGATAATGACATGTGTGTCATGTAAAACACGACTACATTCTACCCTCACCGCGCGATCGCACCGTTTTCCTAGATTCACATATACGGAATTTGGTACTACGAGACGTGAATGAGAGATGAAGGTAAATGACACGTTCAAACATGATAATCTTGAGATGCCTGCTAAGTAAAACATCACTACATGCTACGCTCATAGTGTGCTCGCGGCTGTTTCGATAGCTCCACATATACGAAATTCGGCGTTACGAGACGTGTATGGAGCACGAAGGTAAATGACGCGTTCAAACATGATAATGTTGAGATGCGTGTTATGTAAAGTGTGGCTACACGCTACCCTCGTCGTGCGATCGCGGTCGTTTCCTTAGCTCCACATATACGGAATTCGGTACTACGAGACGTGAATGAACGACGAAGGAAAATGACACGTACAAACATGATAATCTTGAGATGCGTGTTAAGTAAAACATAACTAAAGCTACGCTCATAGTGAGCTCGCGGCTGTTTAGCTAGCTACAGATATACAAAGTTTGGTACTACGAGACGTGAATGAAGGACGGAGGTAGATGACACGTTCAAACATGATAATGTTGAAATGCGTGTTATGTAAAACATAACTACATGCTACGCTCATAGAGTGTTCAGAGCCGATTTACTAGCTTCACATATACAGAATTGGGTATTACGAGACGCGGATAGATGACAAAGGTAAATGACACGTCTAAATATGATAATGACATGTGTGTCATGTAAAACACGACTACATTCTACCCTCACCGCGCGATCGCGCCGTTTTCCGAGATTCGCATATACGGAATTTGGTACTACGAGACGTGAACGAGAGATGAAGGTAAATGACACGTTCAAACATGATAATCTTGAGATGCCTGCTAAGTAAAACATCACTACATGCTACGCTCATAGTGTGCTCGCGGCTGTTTCGATAGCTCCACATATACGAAATTCGGCGTTACGAGACGTGTATGGAGCACGAAGGTAAATGACGCGTTCAAACATAATAATGTTGAGATGCGTGTTATGTAAAGTGTGGCTACACGCTACCCTCATCGTGCGATCGCGGCCGTTTCCTAAGCTCCACATATACGGAATTTGGTACTACGAGACGTGAATGAACGACGAAGGAAAATGACACGTCCAAACATGATAACAATGACATGTGTGTCATGTAAAACACGACTGCATGCCACCCTCACCGCGTGATCGCGGCGGTTTTCCTAGATTCACATATACGGAATTTGGTACTACGAGATGTGAATGAGCGATGAAGGTGAATGACACGTCCAAACATGAAAATCTTGAGATGCGTGTTCGTAAACATAACTACATGCTACGCTCATGGTGCGCTCGTGGCGGTTTCGCTAGCTACACATATACAAAATTTAGTATTACGAGACATGAGTGGAGGACGAAGGTAAATGACACGTTTAAACATGATAATGTTGAGATGCGTGTTATGTCAAACATGACTACATGCTACGCTCATAGCGTGTTCGCGGCTGTTTCGCTAGATCTACATATATGAAATTCGGTATTATGATACCTGGATAGACGATAAGTAAATTACACGTCCAAACATGATGCTAACGACATGTGTGCAATGTAAAAGATGGCTACATGCTATGCTCATCACGCGATCTTGGCCGTTTTCCTAGCTTCACATATAGGGAATTCGGTATTACGAGATGTGGATGGACGATCAAATTGAATGACACGTTCAAACATGATAATTTAGAGATGCGTGTTATGTAAAAGACGGCTACATGATATGCTCATAGCGTGATCGCGGCCGTTTCGCTAGCTCCCCAGATACGAAATTTGGTATTACGAGACTTCGATAGACGATTAAGGTAAGATGACAAGTCCAAACTTGATAAGCATTGAATGCGTATTATGCGAAGCATGAGTACTTGCTAAGCTCATAGCGTGCTCGCGGCCGTTTCGTTAGCTCCACTTAGGACTTCTTGCTATACTAAATTTGATATAACGTGCTGTGAATGAACTACGAAGGTTCATGACATATTCAAACATGACAATCATGGCATGTAAGTCATGTGGGGTGTAATTTACGTCCGCCACGTAAAGCTGTGCTCAATTTATTGTCACACATCAACATTCCCGATTCGTCGTTCACATATCATCAATTCCCACTGTTCGCGGGATCTGCCAATTTTTTGCCATTGCTTATTCTTCTCAAAATCTATCATGTGTATTTAGTGTGCTCATTGTTTTTTGCGCGTTTCCTTAAATATGTATAACATTGGTTGCTTATCATGATACTTTTGCTAATATATAATTTTTGAAAACTGCACTTTTTGTAACATATTTTGTATTGAAATAATCGTAACCACTCAGGATATAGAACCAAATATTTCTGGATCTATTTTTTATAATAATAAGCGATAAGTTCGCCTTTGATTGAATAATTGATTGATTGCGCAAATGGTCACCAGAATTCGAAGGCCTTGGGGGCCAAAAGCATTCCAAGGCCATAACAGATTCAGCTTTGGTCAGCGCCATTGCTTGATTGTTCTCAATAAAGCAAAAATTGACGAAAGAAGAACAAAATAAGTATTTGACAATTCCTGATCTCACCCAGATCCCGTTACGTACTGGTGGCGGGTCACTATCCCATCTACTCTGCCTGCTCCCACGGGACTACCAAATGCTTGGAGAGGGACCTGGACCCGCTGCTGCAGAAGTACCGCGTCAATGCTTACTTGGCTGGACACGACCATGATTTACAGGTGAACTGCCCGCATAGACAAGTACTGCAGGTTGGCCAAGTTGGTGCATTTTATTATATCGCATTGCAATAGAGCGGCTCAGTTTGAGCATGGAAAAAAAGGCAGCAGCGAGGAAGGAAAGGACCAATTTGAACTTCCATCTTTTGTTTATGTCATGACCGAACAGCACATTTTATGGCTCACTTCACAGCACACCTGACGTCGCTCACCTGACCAGAAACAATTAAGCGTGGCGCGCAGCACAAGTGATTAGAAAATGCAGCAAAAGGAAACATCAAGTTAACATTTCCACGTCAACCATTCTCTGCACACGCCCGAAAAACTCGAGCTCTTTTTCCAGAAGAGGCTACAGTTCTCGTATTCACACACGGCTTCACACATTTTGCAATAGAATTTGCCTCAACACTCTGAAGGGCCAACTTAATACGACTGCGGCCCGAAGTTTAGCGCTCATTCTGTTTTTCTTCGTCGCTGTTCCTTATTTTGTCAATGTTCAATCTGAGCTGCGCTATAGCAATGCGATATTAGAATGGTCCTGTATAGGGTGGGCTTTGTCAACTTGGCAATCGCTTACGACAACGTCTAGGCGCAAGTAAGTTACTCTCAGGGGCCGCAATGTGGAACCACAACTGAACTGCCTTGTAAAGCGATGTTGCAGTGTGAGCTCGGCACAAGGACAACACGCGTCCTACGAGTGTTGCAACCTTGCGCTGTAACCTATCTGCCATGGTTTATCATTGCAACTTTCGTTGAGTGGTGCAACATTGAGCAAAACAGTCAATGAAGAATTCGGTGCAAATAACCTCAGCCCATAAGAGCCTCCAATCGGCTCTTCAACCTTCCACGCAGTTCGTTCAGCGTTTGAGTCCTAAACTTACCACGTGGGCAACTAGAAATTATACAAATCTGGGTAGATGAGTCACTGAAATTCTTTTAGAACATTAAAGAAATATCAGTTACGTGTATCGATTCATCCATTAACTATATTTCAGTTTCCAAACATGCTCTCTTTAACGTGAAACTGAATGAGGCTGTTGGGGCTAAGCATCATGGATTCTTTTAACGGTATAACGTTAAAAAGCTTGTTTCGCATAAAGTCTGGGATTGGTGCCGGCATCCGCATCATTCGTTGTGAGCGAAAATTCTTCTTGTGCGTGACTAAAAAATCGAGAATAATGCAAATAAAATAAATAAATGATACGAAATCCTGTAGCAGAGTGGGGACTGAACGAGGGTTGTTTGGGTCCGAGTGGGGATTAACGCGGGTCGTTTACGCGGCAAGCGGACGTTCTACCACATGGGCACGCCTCTGCTTGTGAAAACAGTGAAAATAACTTCTTCTGTTGCGAAATTCAGTAAAAGTAGCTCTCAAGCTTCACAAACATATGCGTCCTGTACACATGCTTCACAATTATATATGAAATATTGCAGCAATAATTAGTGGTAGAAGCGTTTATTGCCAACGGGCGTCAGAATATGCGAATATCATAATGGCTACACGGTTGAAAGCTGGTAGTCCACTACAAAAGGCACACACTCTACTGCGCTTCCTTTAAGGCCACGTATACCGGGTGCATTGCAAATTCAAAGAAGTTTTATATTCGTTTCAAATGGGCACTAAAAACAGGAGGCCGCTATCGTTTTCAACTACTAAAGGCGAAGATTTAGGTTCCCCTAATTTTTAGTTGCGTTGCGAAGATCATGGCGCTTGTGTGGCCCTGTTTCTCTACAGTGACTAAATTGTCTTCATCTCAACTGAGTTAATATACAGTACTGGTAACTGCATGGAATCAATCAAGTTGCTGAATGCAGGTGTTCGATTAGAAGAAGACGCGGACCACAACATAGTAAAAATGTACCAAGACGTTTTGGCACAGAGAATGGGAGCCTCGTTCACAATCAAAGCGAAGGGCGGAAGCTAAGTGTATGAATAGTCGACAGCACATGGCCTAAGCACCTTGCACATGGGGGGGGGGGGGGGGGAGAGATTACTGTCCATGCGGTTGAGCGTGCTTTTTCTTGTTTGTATTGTTAATGAATCCTGACACAATCTGGAAGTCAAGCCCTTTTCGGTAGCAATGATACGTGCCCTGCTATTGCAACCTAGAAAAATATTTTCAGGCTTGGTCAGTGCCGCCATAACGTCGCCCGTTTGACACAAGTGAGCACGCGTAAAGGAGGGTGTGAGTCCATTGCTACCATCGTCTCTCATTAAAGCAGTCGGGGCAAGTTTTACGTGCCTAATTGCTAGATACTGTGTTTTGCTACGCAAAAGACACCTGTTTAAGCCGCGTATTACGCTTGAAAGTGCTTGTTGGTTATTCGGAGAGTCATTTAATCCATGAAAAAGTTAGAAAAGATTGTGCGCAATTTAATGTGTGGTCGATTTATAAGAGCAAAATTTCATAGCCTGACAAAGGAACGATATAAATGAGGTAAAGTTTACTCATTATTTGTTCTTCATTCTCCCCTCCAAACACACACACACGTGCTCGCGCCCACACAAGTGCACACATACACATACTATCTATCATCATCAGCCTGACTACGTCCACTGCAGGACAAAGGCCTCTCCCATGTTCCGCCAGTTAACCCGGTCCTGTGCTTGCTGCTGCCAATTTATACCCGCAAACTTCTTAATCTCATCTGCCCACCTAATCTTCTGTCTCCCCCTAACTATCTATAGTCGGTGACAATTTAAGCATGAGCTCCCGTATCACGAGGCCACATTTCCTTTATTTTGCATGCCTCCGCGTAACAAAGCAAATAGTTCCGCATGAATAGCATAATTTTCACGCATATAACCATTATATTTCAATATCTCACTGATAATGAATTGCGTAATACAAACCACGACACAGAAACTTGAAAAGGCACGCAGTTCTGTGTGAGATTAGCAATAATTATTTTGTGTAAATCACAATTCCCCCCTCCGCTCATCTTGGAGTCCAGAAACAAACAATGTACAGATCTCGAACGCGACGTTTATGCGTGGTACCTATGGTGGTACTAAAACCAAAATTGCCACATTTATGAAAGGTCTAAAATTAAAAAAAAACTTCTATCCCGTCTTCACAACGTAAAACAGGGGCATTTATCCATATTCATAAGGTCCTTTGTCATTAGTTTGTAATTGTAATTGTTTCACAACAATTTCGCAGCCGGCTTTATTAACTGTCTTGTGTAACTATGGCGAATACGAACGAAGCAAGTGAAGAATGGAGAAGTGATAAGAGATTAACTTCATGAATTCTGGTTCTTGGGCTGTCGTGATTACCAAATGTGCGTCTTGCGTCGCCTTGCTTGTCATCATTGTGTTTGAGGTAAGCGCCCTTGCTTCGTTCAAGGTCTTATTTCAACGAAATAAAAGTGCGTCGCGCACGTTGTGGTTCACAGTGGAGGTAATTGCAAACGTTATCGTTAAGTTAATGCTAAGGTTCTGTACGCGGCTGAAGTCGTGGTTACTAATTTTCTTGCTTCGACAACATGCGCTCCATGGTGTTTGCAGACCCCGTCAGCTCTTGAATATTGAGCATCTTCAAAGTGGCATCGTGTTTTCCTGGAACAAGGGCCACTACACTCCACACTCTAAACAAACAAAAAAAACCCCAGATGGGAGTTTTTGGCTTGTCCTTTAGATCACTCCCATCCGTACATGTTTTGCACCCTCGAAATGGGAGTAAAAACGCTCATGTCGTAAGGCATACAACGGGCTTAGATTGGGCAAAACTTTACTCCCTTTGTGGCTCAGAGAAAACGATTCTGGAGTGTTACGGTTCTTACTTGGGAGTATTTTCGGTGTAATTAGGACAATACTTTACCCCCGTCTAGGCGTTTTCAAAAGGCGGCGTACAAGTATTTTAACCACGTGACCACGCTGTTTTTGTCTCTTTTTTCACTCTATTTCGGAGTCAATAGGTGGAATCTAGGGCGTTTTAGCTCGCCTCTCTTGGGAGTAAGGGTATTGAATGGGAGTAATCACTGCAGCCAGAACTCTCTCTGAGCAAGCATTCTTGCAAGGCTGCAGGCTCCATTCTAAATAAACTAGACGCAAACAAAAGCTTATCTACAGCCCAAACACAAAAGCAAAGTACGGATCCTTTCAGAGTTCCTGTTTATACGCTATCAGAGCACACAATCTGCAGACTTGCGGAATATTTATTACGGAGGGAAAATTACACACAAAGTACCACTCTTGTGGCGATTTCACAGAAGTGTGCATGGTTATTGACCACAGAATTTGTACAGCACGAGCACGATATTTACCACCACATAAAGCACCGAAAGTACAAACACTACAAACACAAATTTTTCACATATTTGTATGAAGCAGTTGAAAAGTAAAAAATCAAATGGAATGCCAACATTCAAACACACTTTGCCAATCAAATTAGAGTATCTGACTAGAAATCTGCAAAACTTCCATTGAAGATCACCTAATGTAATAACAAGTGCATTTCTGCAAATCTGGTGCTGTAGATGATGTAGATGATGTAGATGATGGTGCTGTAGGCTATGCCCAATAACATATATGTAGAACCTAATTATAATATGTCAAGAAGTCGACTTATGGAACTTGTTTGAATTAAATGCTATACCAGTGACTAAGGTTCTCTTGGAGATTTCTGGACATTTTTCTCGTGGCACACATATAACATATAGAATAAAGGGACAATCCTCAAATGCATTAGATGGATGCACCTATTTTTTTTTCTCTCAGAAAATAAAAAAAAACCTGAAGTCAATATTGGATCCGCTTTCAAGTTACAGCAAAGCCATTTTCACCAGACTATCCCAAATCAGTTTCGAATAACAATAGTACAAGAGAGGTTGACGAGTGTACTACAATAAATTTGTTTGCTCCAGTTCTGTTATCGACCATGTCAATCAAGCTCAAAGAAGACATTCATGAACATATGAAGAAACGCACATTCCATAAAGCTGGGTAATGCATTAAAAGTAATAACAAAACATATAACATTGGAAAACTGGGCAGAATT